GTAAAAAAATTTATGTATAACCTAAGACGTATATTGTTTAAAATTTCCTTTTAAGCATTTAGGCTCCATTAATTTTACACCATACCCTCTAGACGTTAAGCTCCCGATAAACTATCCTGTAGACAGTTACTAACAACACTTTGTTTGACCCTACAGAAGTCGAATGTGGCGGCGCGTCTTTGAACTTAGAAACCGTTGAAAACATACTTCAGTGTTTTCACAGTTTCAAGCACGCTGGATAAATTCGTTGGGAAATAGTCCCTCTCTAAAAGCTTTGGTCGCTCCATTCTGGGTATATGCGCTAGCACTAATGGTAACGGACGCTTATTCCGCTCGGATTGGCAGTGTTTATCGTGTGCATCTGTGCCCACTCGGGGGGGTGTGATGCCTTGCGCGCGCAGGTTCCCCTCGACGGTGGAGATATCGAGTTCGCAATAAATACCACGAATAACAAAATTATGTGGCTGTCTTCAGGTAATTACTAGGTAAATTGGTGTAAATCTTGATTGCGCATTATCTTTGTGATCGCATGGTATTCCTAAGCTGCTGTCGAAAATATTTTAATTCCAAGACGCGGAACACTTGATCGGGATCATGGTTCCGTTGGATCGTAAAAATCATACAAGAAGGGGTCACTTAGCTTTTCGCAAAGGTATAATAGGAATTTTCTCTTTACGGGTTCGCAGGGGCGGGTCTGAAGTAGATGGTCGCTCATTAAATAGAGAGACAGTGTCAAAAGCGCTGCCCATCTATACCTACGGTGTCTTGTAAAGATTTTGTGAGTTTCCATGAGTTTTTATTGAATTTCAGGTTGCCGTTACGCCGTCACCTTTAATGGGGGAAAACTTACTACTACCATTACCATTAATAATATTTCTATTTTTACTACTGAATATATTCTTATTGCTATTAGTGTTGTTGCTAATTATTATATTACTATTAATGACGCCATTAAGGGAACTATTAGCCATAAAGTTATTGCTATTACTAATATTATCCTTAATATTAGCTATTTTCCTGTGGCTAGAATTCGCCTTTTGTAATCTTTAGAGTCTCGCTATCTTCCAGTACCACTTCGGAAGCATCTGGTGGATCTAATTTGTAAGGCCGAAAATACATTATTGTCAATTGTATTATTTAAGGGCTCCTTTCGCCTTTTAGACTTATTTTTGTCCTGGGTGTTTTTAGTAACTTCAAGAAGTTTTGCCTTTGTAGAATCAAACTCTTTTTTTCTGAGTTCTTCATTAATAGTCAACAAGTTAGCAATGAATGCTGGAATTTCTTTTTTAGAGGACAGACTCATAATTAATATAAAGATAAATATATCTTTTTTTAAAAAAGAGAGGTTAAAAGGAAGAAAAAATAATAGTATTTTTGTGATTAAAATAATAATAATATATTTATAATATATATAAGGTCTGTAATATAAGGCCAGTAGATATAATTTACGTAGTTTAAGTATTCTAAAGTGTAAGTATATTTTGAATAAATCTCTAAAAAAGTAAGTTAATAAATATCGCAAATTCTAAGTAATAAGGTGCGCTGGCCAAAATTACCGCCCGGTGGTTTTGATACTTGTTAAGGTTTTACCATGTTTTTACTGAATATAAAATGAATATATTACACGAGTTTAAAATAATCTTAATTGATTAAATCTACCAGTTAAAAATTAATATAAATGCAAAGGGGCTTATCTTCAGTGATGTGGAACCTACAATTTTTTTTTTGAATCGCGCACTGTAATTGGATCATATAAGCAACATTTATGTTCAATATAAATATATGTAAAATAAGATGTGTATGTATTGCAAGGAGACAATTATATTAACAGGTTTTCGGTCTGTATATATATATTGACTAATCTAATATGTTTAATTGCTTTAACCTAGAAACTTGTTGAAATATACTATCCTTCTCTGGGTTAAACAGTATCTTGTTAATTAATTTTTTGGTGATTTATTGCTATTACCTGTAATAGTTAAGCACCTTAAATCCCTCGTTTAAAGAGAAATACTTTTTTGTAGTTTCTCGTTGCTTGGCGGGGACTCGCTCAGCAACCTTAAAACTTGACTGTAGCTGCAACGGGTAAGATCTTTTTTTCATAGTCGATTGACCTTGCCAACTGCATAGGTGGACTACTTGGTGGGTAGGCTTTGGCACCTTTTGTTTTGTGGCTTGGACGGTTTGGGTGAACCTTTTGATCTTTCGTCAAGTTGGGTACACACTTTAATGAACGAAAAGATTGCCTTCGTCTCCAGGTTCATTATCTTTCAAGCGGTCAAACAAGATTGACTCTATATAAAAAATTTATGTTCGACTCGAAGGTTAGTCCTCTCGGGTACCGGTTGGCTACGCTACGGTCCATGGTACTCAACAGATTGCCATCCTGAGGTGGGAAACCGTCCGGGTGTAACTTATCTTCATCGGGTCATGTCACCCTCTACTGTTAAACAGGTTTACCGAAAAACTCGAGCTAATGCAGCTCAAACAGTTCTAAGTAATCATCATCTTTTCAACCGTGACTATGGTACCTTCCTAATTGAAGCATTGAGTTGTGTGCTAAACGGTAACTTAGGAAAGTTGCAAGTGCTTCAGTGCGGATCGAAAGGTCTACTTTTAAAATTGGCCAAAACTCCCAGTCGGTCCTTTGGCTGGTGAAATCTTTCCGGTATCTTTGGAGGCTAACACTGCGGCCTTCGCAACCTATCTATTCAATCGCTGACTAAATTTTGTTCCTGCACTGTTGACTTTATAGCTTAAATATAATAATAAATACACTAAGAGCTCACTACTCTTTACCATTGTTATGAAAGTTTCACGTTGAGTACTAGCATTGCCTGCTAAAACGTAACATCCTTATGCGACCCGTAGGCAGAGCTACCGTCATCAACTTTTACACTATTAAACAGGTTGACTAAAGCAGTTAAGTTGCTGGGTTAAGTTCATGTTGCTGTTAGTAGCAAAAACGAAACCACGCTTGAAAGCTGGTCTAGAAATGAGTAATGTTTTAATAGTACTTCAGTCCGCTGGTGTAAAACCAGATATAGGAAGATATGAAACTTCTTTAATAGTTGTACGGTTGCATCAGTGCTGTATCTATAGTATTCGGTCCGCCTTTAAAAAGTGTGTTGTTTAATACAGGTATGGATTAATGCTATATACTAGCAATATATAGTGACCACACTAATACAGTGAGGCTACACGCCGGCAGATCAGAAGGCAAGAAAGTAGTCAATCGCACCAAAAGACCAGGAAGAGTCTATAGTCAGTAGGTAAACATTACTCATTGCTAGGCCAGGGTGGTACGTGCTTTCTTCTTGGCTACTAGCATCAGAATATGCAACGAACCTAGAAAATTAGCTGCTTTGGTCAACGTGTCTAGAGTATCAAAGTTAACTGCTGCAGTTCTCCGTAGGCAATGCTAGTACTCAACGCAAAGAATCTTAATAAGAACGATGTCATAAGCCAGCAGTAAAGGAAAAAAGTTTAGTCAGCTAGTTAAATGGTTGCAAACACCACAGTGTTAGCCTTCAAAGATACATGGAAGTGGCGCCTACTCCGAGACTTTATCAAACCAGAAGTTTTTACTGAGTTTAAGAGTAGCTGTTTCCAACCGCGTCTCATGAAACCTGCGACCCTCCTAAGTAACTTTCAGCACACAACTCAGAATTTCAATCAGGAAGGTACCATAACCACAACTTTAAGGTTGTTTGAGCATTACATAACTCGATGTTTTGACTGCATTAGCCAAAGATTTAGATAAGACCTTTCAAGTGGTACAGGGTGACATGACCCGATAGAGATAAGTCTACATCCTAACGTTTTTCCACCTTGGGATGGTAACCTGTTGAGCGGTATAGACCGTAGGCCTCTGGTAACCGTAAGGACTAAAGTACGAGTCGGACACCGTTGCAGAAAGATCCTAGCTCAAAAGTTTTAACGCATATTACCATTTTAGGCAATTTTTATGATTATTATTTAGATCATTTTACCTCTGAGTTGTTAGTGTATAATGAAGGTTAACGAAAAGTGAACTAGCAGTCGTGTTAATTTTTTCTAGTACCTTTTTGTTTTAGCCACATCTGTACGTCTCTCTCTCTGTATATATATATACATTTGTTTACTATTAACGTTAAAGAGCTTAAAGGTTTAGATACCGGTCAGTAAAGGTTTAAATACCCTAACAGACACGAATTTGAAATATTGGAATAATTTTATTTGACCCCTTATACGACATTGAACCTGGCGACAGACAAGAGTCGTTACGTCTAATGAAGATGTACAATCTAGTAAGAAGACTCACAAGGTTTGAGCCAACAATCAGAGCCAGAACCAAACGTTTGACAAAGTATACCCTTTAAGTAGCTGACCTGGTTAGTAGACGTAGAGTTGACTGTTGAACACCAAAGACTTACTTCCTATGATCAAAGCACTAAAAAGGTTGCCTCGCATGTCACCGCTCCAAAAAGGTAAGTTAAAGGACCAAAAAATAAAAATGTTCGCACAGAACGTGCGAGAGCCACAAGAGACACAAAAACGCATCTCAATTGTATACGGTTCAATCAAGGTGTTTATTTGTTATAGTTAGAGGCACTAAATTAGAACTTTTGTGCAGAATTGCTTCAAGTGTTATATGCTAGTAAATAAATCAACAAAATAACATGGTGTCTACTATTGAAAAGTAAGGTTTAGTATATATATTCATTTATTTTATTTTATTTATATCAGATTTGTTTTAATTCAACTTTATTTGTATAATTGTATTAAATTCTATTAGATATTCTATTACTTTATATTATATTAATTTATAAAAGGATTCTGGTGCCCTCCGCGATCATGCTCGGAATAGTTAAACCTATAGATTACAATAAGTTTTAGTGCAGGAGAAATAACATAAAAATGCCTTTAACTCTATATTTATTGTTTATTTTGGTTTTTATTTATTTAAAATTTATTTAATTTGTTTTTATTATATGTTTTACAATAAAATGGAACTTAAATCTCTAGTAATGGTGTTAGGAGGGGATTAAGTATAACACTTCTATAATTGTGTTTTTAGCCTTCTGCTAAGACGATAACTTAGTAAATAATTTTCTCCCATCTCAAGGTGGGCGTCCAATTTTTGGAATGGTGGAATTCTAACAATATATAAAACTCTAGGCTGTGCGATATCGCGTGCTAAGACTTCGTCGCTTTTCCTTAGTTCTGCATTATGATTTGTTACGAAAGGTATGAGGATAACTCTTAAAATCCTCTTATCCCGAAATGCTCCTCTGCTTAAATAATCCTTTACAATACAGGCCCACTCGGACAACTCTAATGAATTTGTATCACCGGATATATTTACGATGGCTTGAGACTAACTCCCGATATAACGTAGACAGTACTTAGTTTCAGCGTGATTGTGGTTTTCTGTCACGTGGTATGAGCACGTGATATATCAGAGTTAACTACCACAGTAATTAAATTAATAAAAAGAAAACTGATGTTGTTTTTTTCTTACTAGCATTGTTTGGCCGCCAAACCTTACTTGGTAAAGTCCGATTTTCAGGTTCTTAAAAAACTAAATTGTTAAACTCTATGACACTTAAGCAACCGTAGCTCATTCTCGCAGAATTTTTGGCAGTAATCGTTTTCGGTTACTTAGTTTTAGAATATATATACTCTCTAAAAGGTGAAGGTTTTTTAAGTTAAAATTATTGTTTGCGTGGCATTTTTATAGTTAACAATGCTTATTTGTTTATTAAAACAAAAGTTAATTATTTAATAAAAATACATCTTTTAAACCAAAAATGTAAACTTTAAAAAGTTATTATAATAATAAGAAACTTATTTTGAATAATTGTAATACGCTTTAATAATAAATAAAAACTTCTAATCTAAAATTCTGAGAAAAAGTATTTATTACTTCTTGAGATGAAGTGAAATATGAAATTACAAGATAAATGGTTGGTACTAATCTGTACTTAACAATATATTATAATAACAGTGGTATACATCCTAAGCGCTGGCAAGAAGCTTAAAGCTTCTATTGTTAGTAATAAAACATTTAACAAGCGATTTTTAATATGAGTTAAGTGTACGGATGAATGCCAAAATAAATACTGGTTTAGCTAAAGTACTGGAGAGAACTATAAAGAAAGAAGTTAATAAGCTGTGTTGTTACAAATATGAATCGTTTTTTAGTTAAGGTGTAATTCCTGGAAAAACACTATCTCAGGTAGTGGCTATAAAAAGCTTAAATATATGTAATTAAATCTCCTCCTACGGGGTATATGCTATCTCTATTTATATTCGCGGGCATGCAATATTTGTTAGATGTCCCACCACGCCAAAAAGTGCACGCCCAGCTTAAAGAGGCAGGAAATCATGTACCAAGGTATCTAGTCCTAACAAAATTAAAAGATTTTCCTGGCTTGCAAGGGCGCAACACTAATATTAACTGTATTTCCTATAATATATAATTTAGTGTCCCTCGAGAGTGGTAGCCCTCGTGGCCTAATGGCTAGGGCATCTGACTTCTAATCAGGGGATTGCGAGTTCGATCCTCGCCGAGGGCTCGTCTCCCTTAATCCTTATTTTTTAACGATTTTTTTAATGAATTATTCTGTCCCTTTATCCATATTTGATGTTTGTTTACTATTGTTTGGGTTAAATTATTTAAGTATGGATAAGCGATTGACTATTAGTTTTCCTTGCGTTGTTCCCATTAATTCATCGTTCACAGCTTATTATGGAAGCCTTATAATTAAGGTTCTTAACTATTTACTGCTTTTGAAAAGCACTTTATATTTTCTTGCAAATATTACAATTATTTAATAGGATGAAGAATACGAAATATTAGTTTCCCTTAGTTATGATTCTGGACAGAAGAAAGTGGAATTTAGGTGTTGTAATAGACTAAACGAACTTCTTAAGGAAGTTGCTCCCATTATATTAAAGGTCGTACCTAATGTATAGAGTTTTCTAATGTCTTTACTTAAATTTAGTACTAAAGCGCTTAAATCAAGTTGAATCCCTGTATGATTTTTTAATGGAGCTTTCCTCCCTAGTGGTTGCTATAAACTTTACATTCTATTAATTTTGCCACTTATTTTAGTAGGAAAGTTTATCCCCTCCCTTCACTTTTCGAAAAGAAGTGGACACTGATTATAAGTTATGTAAACTTTTCTATAAAGATCTATGTTCTATTGGCTGGGAATATGTTTCTTACGTAAACGAATTGTGCACGCTTTTTAAATTTGAAGTTAAGTAAGTACTTATTTACAGGAATTAGTTAGCCTTTTATTTAATTTACAATGTTATCAGCCCCTTTTCATATGCTTTTGCTTTTTTTATATATTTTAGAGATACCGGTCTTCGAAAGCATATTCTAAGTGTTGATTTAACTAACTATCCAGAAAAGGTATTCTGAACTTTTTTTTAACTAGTCAAATTTTACCAATAAAAGACTCCAGAGATATCTACTCAACTTCCTACACCTTTTCTTTTTCAAGCTAGCAAAGTAGTTTCGTTACTTAAAATTTTTAAGCTCTTTAAAGAAGTACAGCTTTTTAACATCTTTTTTTTAAAGTAATAACCTTTTTTTACGTAGGCAATTGCCTCTTACCAAGATTTTTGGGATTCTTTACAAGTGCTGGATAGTCAGACTTGGGCACTTACATGTTAATTTCCTTTTTTTTCTTTTTAAAATTTATATAAAGGTCGTCGAGCCAATAAAGCCGACTTTTGCTGACCGACACCGCCGGATTGCTTTAAGTAAGTCTATTAATTTTCCATAGATAGAGCAGGCCTGTGTTATTTTTAAACCTATATAACCCCAAAATATAACTATTGGACATATAATATTTTCTTCGATAATAAATTTTTATTAAAAAAAACTTAAGTCTTAACTTATACCGCACTAAAAGAATTTTTTTTATAAAAAAAGAAAAGCAACGCTTTCTTCACGTGGAAATTGACCCCAAGCTCCCCAGAAACATTCCCGTTGTGCACTTTTCCGGCCCCGAAGCAGAAGTCGTGCAGTTACGGCAAAAGTTTTTTGAAAATGCCTACGCTTGGTCGACCTACGCACACCGATAGTAGTGTTAGCCGGCTTAACTCTCGCCCACGTGCAGGCGTGGCGAGGAAAGTCTATACAATAACCTTCAGCAAGTATTGCAGGAGGAGTTACCTTTAAAATCTTGCGAAAAGGAAGTAAATCTTAGCAAGGACTGCGGAATTTGCTACTCATTCTACCTGGAGAATGCCGTCCCCGACAAAGTGAGAAAAGCATAACGTGCTAGTCAGCACCTTGGAATAATGCGGTGACTGGCAGATTTGTGAGTACGCGGGATGTCGCCAAGCATTTCACCCACAATGTCTCTTGGAGGTCGTCCGGCTAATACTGCAACTAAACCATTGTATGAGCCCGTGTTGATCGGTCCCCTATTTAATTTAGTGGTTAAAGACTTCTTCAACGACGCAACGGCGATTTCATATGTTTTTTGGAACGTGTCCTTACTGCGAAAAGGTAATTTAAGGCAATCTTTCGCTTTTAGTCTTTTTAATTCGATAATCTAGCAAATAAGTCTCAAGATGTTTTAAAAAGGGATTGAATACTCCTAAAATTCGCCTAAAAAAGGCTAATAATACTTTTGGTTGCCCTAATAACCGTGTTTTATTTAAGTACTATGTGGAATTGTCAGGTCGAAAAGGGACTGCTACTTGAGCTTTGACGTCGCTTTTTTCTTTTTTCATAAAACTTCTTTTTTGATTTCTTTCTCCTTTTTGCTTTGCGGTGTAATACGGACTTGTGCTGCTTGGAGCTCCCAGTAAACCAGACGCAGAGCCTTATAATAAACTTACAATACTGCCTGGGTCGTTTACAAGCCGCAGCAACTTTTCTTTCAGCGACGATGCGTGCTCTTGTCCTCTTTTTCGCACCTACACGTTGAATGCGTCACAGATCAGAGGAAAACACGCTGCCGGCAGTAAAACTTTCTCCAACAGTATCCCTTCCAGTCTCTCCAGTTTCTGGGATGTCGATGCATTCTGGGGGCACAGCGCTCGAGATTTCAGCAGAAGGTCCACGGCTGCCCTCAAGTCGCCCCTATCTTCTTGTCGGCTGGCCTGCACCTCATAAACGCGAGCTAAATATCTTTGTCAGAAAAAAAAAAGTTGGGTCGAACGCCAAAAAAATAGTGAAAAGTTGACTATAAAAGAACCTTTTTGCGTTAGTGTGAGACTCGTCAAGATGCAGAGCAGCTTTAAAGTCCTTCTCGGCAGCTTTAAAGTCAAACTGGCTGGCGTGTCTGCATGCAAGTGAAGCGGAAGACTATTAATATTAATAACAAAGAAAGCGTACAAGGCCCCACGAGCCACAAGGGCATCAGCGTGCTCTGGCTCAATTTCTTTAAAAGATAACAGCAAGGAAAGTTAAAGGCTATGAAATTTATGCTACCAAGAGCCTTTAAATAGTAGCCCAAGGCAGCTTTCGCGTCATCGCTCTTAAATCTCTCAACGCCACTTTTTACGCTTGCAAAGAATGCCTTGATATGAGTACCTCGCAAAGTTGAAGATCAAAAAGGGTAAATGTACCACTCATTGGCGTAATCCATGTTTTGACGTTTCCGCAGTTCCTCAAAGGAGTCTTCTTTTAGGTATTCTTTCCTTGTAAAGATAGTTTAACCTTAAAAAAAAGACGTCTGGGTGTAAATAAATTAAAATGGACTTTGACTCTAGCAGGAAGGTGTCCTTTTCTCTGCAGACTTGTAGCGTTGACAAAAGTTCGCTGCAATACAAAGAGTTGTGGTAATCATGTGAACGTGTTAAGGTTTCCTGGTATCGCTCAAAATCCCTATTCAAATAAGGTATTTCTTGTAAGCGAGCATCGTAACAATACAGTAAAGATATGAAAAATTTTAATAAATATAACTTTTATATAGAAACGCGTTTTAATAGTAGAGGAAGAGTGCAAGCTGAGGTACCTGTAACAAACGTTGTAATCCAAACAGTGAGTAAAAAAACCCTCCATGAGAAAGATAAAAGAGTTATCAGCGTTACAACCTCCTTAAAGTTCTATTACCAAAGGAAGAACGCTTCGAGAATCGAAATTAGTGACCCAAATTTCCAATCTTTCCAATTCGTAATAAATAATGGAGCCTCGATTAATATTCGAAGGAAGTAACTTATTAGGCGAAAGTGGCTAACGTTAGTGAAAGAACCCCTAAAAAGATCTCCTGGCTCACTTTGTTCTAAAAATTTTTTGTGTACGCTAAAGTTTGCCCGAACTTCTGATAAATCATTACAAATGAATATCTGCTTTAAAATTTAAAAAGAAGACTATTAAGTCGCACAGGTATATATTGCTTGTTACTTTTATATTGAGGCCTTCTAAGTCGTTAACACGGCAAGGGCGTCTAGAACTTGAAAAACCAGTTTTTTCACTACAATTCGAAATTCCGCAAGCACAAATCGGAAAAATTTCAAAAATTAAAGCTGATAAAGTAACGTCCCACAAATTATCCTCAATAAAGCCTTCAACTAACTGGCCTATGTGAAGACGCTGAAGAAAAGAAAGAAAATAAAAAAAAACTCTGGTTGTAAATGTTATAGAATTACATTAAATATACGAGGTATTCTTTCCTTCGAGCTAAACTTTAAAAAAACGTCAAGAGAAGGAAGCCAGTCCCAAGGTTTTCCCCAAAAGTCAATGTGCTCAAGATCAGGATCGGTGTTTTTAAAATTTTGACACGAAGGCAAAAAACTCTTGTATCTTGAACGAAAATTAGATAATCTTTCTCCTAATGATAGATCACCTACAGATCCTTGTTGCATTATTAGGCGTGCATGTGTTATTACTAACTTTTAAAAATAATTAGCTAAAATAGACCTACTAAACCAAAACTATTGCTCTACACGCTCACGTCGTTAATAAGTAAAACTACAAAATTTACTTAGTCGAGGGTTAAAGTTAAAAACTTTACATAAAGACACATGACATAAACCTCTGTGAAGTATGGTGGTTTTGCAACGTTATACAACTAAGTTACCCTTTGGAAGTCTGTGCATCTAAATTTAACAGAATGAAATGGAGATTTAACAATATTATTAAACTTTATTTGGAATAAATGTCATAGGAACGAGTATCCCTAGTGCATGAGGTAAGTAATGCCGTCTCAAAGGATAGTCGCCTTTCGACGAATATTGATATGTTTAATGTATAATTGAACTACTTGCCTATCTACGCCGAGGATAACCTTTGCGAACTAAAATTATTCTTCGAGACCTGTTTACGACGTCCGTACCTTTAGAGAGCACCTTAGGGAGGCGCCATGTTGGATTGAGTGCCGTCCCGACCATCGAACCGTATACCCATAACGCATTATTCACATTGACCGGGGCAACCCGTGGAGAGATTGCGTTTCTTGCCTGACGAGCTGACGCTGCCAATCTACGAAAATTAACGCCTAATTATTTGCTCATTAGGGCACTAAATTAACTACCCTAGCGCAATTTATGAAGTCTTTATGGCACACTATTTTCGGTATTAGGTAAGTTAACTAGGCAGGCAGGTAACTGGTGGCAAAATTCCCTGCGTGAAGACACACAGGTTACTGAAAGCGGAACAAGGCGAGCGTCTTTCTGTACCATGCAAGCCGATCCCTTACCATTACCCTTTTTGACCGGAGGAAGACAGTGAGACTACGTATCAGAGGGGCGGGCAAAGAGAACTCGATATCATAGTAACAATTTTCTGCCCTCTTTAGGTAAATGTCAACCTTTTGGCGTGGTAAGAATACCTATTGAGCACCACAAATCTTTCCTTGCACATTAATGTAATTTTAACAACCACTTAGTTAAAAAATTTAATTCATGTCAACCCTGATAACTCTAGCAAACTATGGTAAAATATAAGTCATCATATTATATTTGGATATCTTTTTTAATAAAACACTTCCTCGATAGTCTACCATGACCGTTGAAACCTAAAGTTTTTTTAACTCATAATACTTAAGAGCAATAAAATTTATTTTTCATAACTACGCTTATAGAAGCTCCTACATGTACTTTCAATATATAGTAAAAATAGTAACAGTTATTTATAAAGAAGTTGCTTAATATACTAAAAATTGGTCACTAACCCAAAATATGCGTGCTGCACTATTAATTGCAAAAACGCCTTTAAAAAACGAAAAAGAGATGTGCAATAACCCTAACCGAGCTATATAAGTGCATAAATACTATTCTAACTGCGATATTGTTTAATTTCTTGGTCATTAGTATTACGACCTCATGACCGTAAGATTCTTTGAAGATAGTAAGCGCCCCCAATTTAATTCTTTTAGAGCTAATATATAGATAATATTGAAGAAACAAAAAATTAAACTTAAAAAAAGCTTAGAGCAATTTTGAAAAAAAGACAACTAGGAATGTAGTATATAGGGAGCGAGCTTATATACGAGCCATGGGATGGGGAACGTTACCGGAGCCCACTTAGAGAAAATTTGAAGAAATTATCGATTCATGACTGGAATGTACTTGGGCTGCGATTACTTCCGCTTGAGAGTTCGACCATTTTAAGTTTTTAACTCGATAAAAGTCCCGAAAAAGTTATATATTAATGAAAAAAACAAACCTAGAGACCCAAATGTTTTCTTAATGACTCAACCCTCATTAATATAAACAATACAGTTAAACCGAGCTTTTACTAAATGGGCTTGGAGCCTTAAAAAAGGTTGAGGATCTACTATTACAAGTTTAACTGGATTATTTGTGCTCAGTAAAGTTAAAGGTTATGGGTATATTGCGATCCAGAAAAAAAAATAATAATAATAACAAAGATCCCGTAAATCATAGAGAAAGTACTTTTTAAAGATATTTTGTGAAACTATAACTTGTTTTAACTTTAAATAGAATATTTTTACAGTACACTTAAACTTTGTCGAAGCTCCCTCGATACTCAGTTGTCAAATACTAGTATCTTTTTAATGACATGTATTTACTTAGCTTTCGTAAAAAGAAATTAACAAGGGGTTTGGCGCTTTCCTAGCATAATAACTCTCTGTAACTGTAAGAAAACGAGCCTTCAGAAGGTCGGGCTTCAGGTAATGTATTTGATAATTATTTTAATAAAATTTTAAATAAAAAATAAAAATATTAAATTGCTAGATATGGGCAGGGAGCTTGGTGATGTGTGATCTAATTCTACACAAACCCGGTAGGCTGCACCACTTGTTAAGCTTTAAGCGATACGTAAACAAACAGTCCAAGAAAAACAAATTAGATTAAAAATTTAGTTATTTTTTTTTTTATACTAATATTTTACTTTATATTATTACTTTATTAATTTTTTTGTTAGCAGAAATTTTTTATGGGAAAAGTGTCTTAGAACTCGGAGCAGGGACCGGCCTTGTTTCCATTGTACTGTCAGCGTTTGCTAAAAAAGTTTACTGTACGGGTTAGAACTTATACGCCTTGTGTACAGTGATTGTTGCGGATTGACCAATATATACTTAACTCAAACCGATAATTATTCAGTAAAATTAAAAAGTGCAAGTTTAGTTATTATATTTATCTTTAGACTATATACCAAACGCAAACTGTACAGGTTATTGGATTTTTATAGAAACCAGTTTTTTTTTGCTCGAGTTGAATATGAAGGAAGATTGGATTGTTTATAGTTTCCAATCAAAAATCTAGTTTGTACCTTATTTGAAAGCTTTCTATAA